AGGAAGTGTACCTCCTCAGGGGGCTCCCTCTTATAAAGAATGAGTAGGAGTGATTCAGGGGCATTGGACAAAGAATACAGATGCATTATTTTTGGCAGCAGATACAAAATGGATGAAAAGGGATGGGAGACCAAAGCAATAAACAGAATGTTCTGTGGGGGGCATAATATGACCCAGACTGTAGTTGGAGCTCATACATAGTCATATACACAGTTTAGGAACAGCTTTTAAGCAGGCAATGACCATCTTTAATGTTTAGAAATCCTCATGTAAAATGCAGAGTAGACATTGGACAAAAATGAGAAAAGACGAAAAAAGGGCTTTAGTGTTCAAGTGAGCAAGGGATTAAGTGCAGTTGTCAAGTAAAATGTTAAAGATGTCATGATTGTTTGGGTCTGAAGTTGCAAGAGAGAGTAGGTTAAAGACCAGCAGGTTTCTAGCACAGGAAACAGAATTCATAATTCTGCTGCACACTGAGATGTGAAGATAATAGATGAGTGGTTGATTGGGGGCAGACACATATGATGTCTGAGGTGACAGAGAAACACCCATCTGATTGAATATGAACTGAGTAGATTGTAGAAGTTGAAGTTGGCTTAATTTAGTCTACTCTGTTTAATGATAGCTATGTATTCTGCTAAATTCTAAATTCTAAAAATCCTTAAAAAAGGATTAATTTCTTGGTCAAGAGGTCTGACAAAATTAAAAGATAAAATTCATACACAGGTCATATACAAAAGACAACAGTAAATTATCACTTCTGTGAAGGTGGACAATTTAAAATTCTCCACTCTAGCTGTGATTTTGAATGCAAAGTAATATAGTAACTGGCATCAAAATACTTGACATGTAAAATCAGTAGCTAAAATTATGTTTGACAATTTATAAAGGAATTGCCTATGGATATATAATTGTTAAAAAAGGAAAAGCACCAATGAAATTTTAAAATACTCTTTATTTTACACATTATACTCATTTTAGCTTATTATTCGCTCATACCTTTCTTCTTTCAAGTGTACTTTATTTTTTAAAAAGCAACTAACAGTGAAAAGATTGGTCAGTTATACTTACAGCCTTCTAATGACCAAGTGATGTAATAAGAGACTGCTGATGAAGCATAGTAATGGCTTAGAGGGTTTCTGACATAGAGTAGTTGTAGCCTGCTTATTCTTTATACTGGCATGCCTTCGCTGCTTGAGGATGCCTCCAACATTCCTTATAGTTTACTCTTGAAATTAGTTTTTTTTTTCTTTATAGCCTGACTTCCATAGCACTTATGATGCTTATGGTAATGGTTTTCTTTACTTTTTCTTTGATTCTCCTGTTGCTTATTTCATTTTATAACCTCATCATTTCTTCTTGTGTTTTAAGAATACGTGTAATATCACATACTGTATTTAAAATTCTTCATCTTATGTTACAACATTTTATCTGTGTGATATCTGTCAGGTAAAAATATAAGGTGTGGTGCTTCCAACTTTACAGATGTGGAAAGTAAAATTGAATCAGTGAGCAGTTGCTTCAGATCTCAAGGATAGAAAATAGTCACTGACCTACTGGCTGCCAAAGAGTAGGAAGAGATTCGGGATCACCTGAGACAGTCTTTCAACTAAATTTCAAGTCCTCTCTCATCCCATTGAGAGTGATGGGCTGTGTGTTCAGTTACAAGCAACTGGCCTCCTCAGAGGGCAGTTCAAGCCATAAGACAGCTCTGTGGATAACATCTCATGAATCAAAAATAGGCTTCTTTTACAACTCCTCACAGGCAGTGGAGTTCTGCCCTTTAACCAGACATATACATCTATCTCCATGTGGTATAGTAAAAAATAAGTATTGGGTCATTTTCCTTAAAAAAATATAAGGCTTCCTTAAAATTTTAGATTTCCTTAAGTGATAAGAGTAATTTATTTGGTATGCTAAGGAGATGACTCACAGCAGGTGATGGTGGAAGGCTACATAACTTCAGAAAGTGAGTGGCATTGGAAGAAGTGGCATTGGTTGCCAGAGGTGCCAACCAGGCGACTGGTTTCTTTCAACCTACCCTTTGACCTCCAGGAGGCTGAGCCCAGTCATCAATGACCAATGATTGAATCAATTGTATGTACATGATGGAGCTTTAATAAGAACTCTGAAGGAGGCTAAAGGAGCTTCTGTTCAGGTATACGCATGGAAGCTCCCCCACTGCTTTCCCAATATGTACATCTTCCATTTGACTCTGCCTGACTTTTATTCTTTCTGCTAAAACTGGTAGTAGCAAAATGTAGTGCTTTTTGAGTTCTGTTAGTTTTCCTAGCAAATCAGAGGAAGTCATGGGAACCCTAACCAGAATGTATAACCAGTATGTCAGATAGATGCTCTATCCTAGGACAAACGACTTTTTGGAAATGAGGGGAGCATAGTGATGGGACTTAGTCCTTAAACTTATGGGGTCTGCACTAACTGCATGTAGTTAGTGTTAGAATTGAATTGAAAGATATTTGGTATTGGAAAATTGGGATCCTGTATTTGCTGTTAAAAAACAAAACAGCCCCTGCCTGGTGGTGCAGTGGGTTAGGACGCAGCACCACAAGCTGGCAGCAGCAGCTTCAGTGCGAGTTTAGTCCCCCACCCCAAGGTGATCCACATGGCATGGCAGACTTCTCCTGACCCATCCACTGTTCCTCTCAGCAGTGTACTTCGTCGATCTGCCTGTTCTGCTTCTCACTGTCTCTGGTGAATCCTCTAGCTGCCCCTACACCTCTGGCCTGTATCCCAGTTCTGTATGCACAAATAAGTAAATCTTAAAAAAAAAAAAAAAAATCCATGTTCCCTCCCAATAATTTGCCTTGTGCTTGTTACATGGTAGTTCTTCAGACTTACGTTCTTTCTGTAGCTATTTATCAAAACTTGATGTGTATGCATAATAAATTGAAGTCATCAGACTAAATCATATTGTAATTATGTGGTTTTGTTCAATGGCATGTTAGTAAAAAATTAAAAAATATAGTAGCACGTCTCCCTATTATCTGTCCATCCAGAATGCCCACATCTGTTTTCTTGGATGTAGCTATATGTGGATTACTTGTGACTGTGTACATATATATGTGTGTACATATATGTGTACATGTATACATACACACATATGTGTACATATATATGTGTATACACATATATATGAATGAAGTGATTTTATGTATGTTTTAACTTTTATTTAATAAGAAATTTCAAAGTTTAGGGAAATATAAAAGTAACTGTACTACCTGTAAGAGTGCTTGAGAAATGATTGAAGAAATGTAAATGAGATTTTAGAAAAGAGATCAAATAGACTAGGGGAGTATAAAAGGAAACTCTGCTAATAATGCAGATACAAAACTTTGAAAGGAGTACAAAAACATTTAGAAATGAGAGGAGTTAATGAAACACCATAGGCCTAATCGAATAGAAGTCCTGGTTTTGAATTATTGACAGACATAAAAATGAAATAGCATAGTGGAGGAAATACATATTACCATAGAAGCAGTGGACAGCAAGATACTGGTGATGTGAGTGAAGTAGATTGAATTAATTAATGCAATAAAAGCTATCATTTAGAAACATTTTCTGCGCCCTATTACTTGGATTATTCTCTCAATTTTAAGGATCACAGAAAACGGAAACATGAGTAGCAAAAAACTATGCAGGAAATATGTGCCAGTGTAAGTTCACAATGACCAATACAGTGGGAACCAAAGATTGAAGCATCTTCATTGATTTGGTACAGACTCCTATCATATGTAGTTTTCTGAAGACTTCAGTAGATTTATTAATCGCTGTATGTGAGAATTAGCTTGCTAATTCTCTTTATAATAAAGTGTGGTCAGGTTTTAATGAAAGCCCTTAATATGTTAGAATAGCTAGTTAGTTTTTGTACAGCTAGTTGAAAAATCAAAAATCTTGTTTTTACATATTATATTGCATTCCTCCCTTCTATTCCATTCTGATGAGCCAAGATTGTAAACCTAACGTGTTTTTAAATGAGTCCCATTTTGTGAGGTGTTTAGGCTGTTTCCAAATATAGTCTGATTCTTTTAGGTGAAACTTGACTTGCACCCATTCCTCAGGATTAATCTGAAATCTGAAAATTGCGGCATACCTAACATTGCCTTATTATACATCATTTTAAATGTTATTTTGTATAATTAAATATTATTTTGTTAATGGGAAACAAAAGAAGTGTTTTGTAACTAACATTCATCTGAACCTAAAGCAGATAGATGATGGTGCTGGCCATTACATCTTGTTTAGGTATGACTATATAAAGTGATCAAGCAAAAATGCTAGGCGGATATTCTTAATGTATGCCCAGCTGGGTCTCCTGTGCATCTGTTAGTTCCTTAGTGCCCTGCTTTACCTTTGTTCCTTCATGTGCACTTTGAGGATTACTCAATCAAAGAATAAAAAAAAAAAATCTTAATTATTAGATAACAGCATCTGTGTTCTGAGTACCAGTAAAGAAGGTTCGACATTTGTTCTCCCTGGTATCCATCCACTGAAACCTTTTCACTTCTATGATGGGTCAGCCTGGACAATGGAGTGCACTCTTTCCCATTTTTTCCATGCACTAATCACCATTTTCTCTGAACAAACAATGATTTTGAAAATGTTTAAATTATACTGAAATAGATCTCATTTAAAAACATACTCTTTATTTGCTCCACTTCATCTGAATATGCTGATGATCTTGTCATGTTGCAGAGGTCAAAAACTCTCAAGTTGAACTAAAACTTGTTTCCTAAATGTACTTTGTTCATGTAAGCATTCCTAAATTTCATCTTAAGTTTGGAAAACTCTGGTTACAGTTTATGCATGAATTTAAAAATTCAGAAAAAAATTAAAAATTAGTGTAATATTTCCTCCTTTTGTTACAATGACTCTTCTTACATTATTTTACAGTTTGTCACAAATGTTTTGTTGCTAGAGTGTTTCACCTTTTATATATTATAATTTTGTCCTTTCAAGGCATTTAATATACTCTCTTTTAGTCTCTGTAGAAATGCTGGAAAAGAATTTGAAACAGATGGGAAGGCAGCTTCAACAGCTTGAGAAAGATTTGGAAACCTTTCCACCTCCTGAGGACTTGCATGATAAGTTTGTGACAAAGATGTCCATATCCTTTTGATATTGAAGTAACTTAAGTCACTAGTCAACTAGAATTACAACTTATTTGATGTTTTTATTTAGTTTTACATCAGCAGAGATCATGTTACGGTGCCAACTTGTAGAAAATTTAACCATTTTCTTTTGCTGGGAATTTTATCAACATTCAGTCTATCATGAATATTATACAAGTGCATTCTACTGATTTTAATTTTTTTTTCTTTTTTATCAAGTTGGGTAGATAATACTTTTTGTCTTCTTTCCCTTCCATATGTCCTGGTTTCCTTCTGATGTTTGTGGTAAATTGAAAGGATATGGAAACTCAATTTGAGGACATTTTAATCTAGCATTATGGTGTGATACAGATATTTTTGAAATGTTTTGGGGAGGAAATAAAGATTTCATAAACATGCTTAACTAGTCAACTAAATGTTAAGGGTTGGCATTATAGAGATCGAGTGAATTTTCCCTTATTGTCTTCTAAGTTCTTTGGCAGTCTAGTAATCAAATTGACAAAACACTGATAAAATTAAATTTCAAAATGGATCCCAAAGATAGAAATAGCACTGGCATATCCAGTAATTAAGACTCATCTGCCACCCTGTGCTAAGGAATGGGGGCTGGATCTGGTACTTCGAAAAGGAGGAAGGCAACTCACAGGAAGGCAAGAAGATGTTTGGTATTTGGATATTTGCTCTGCCATGCAGGTAATTCTTCTCAGATTAAAAATTAGTTATCACTGGTAATTGCTTTCTCTGGGCTAGGTCCTCTATCTAAATGCATCTAGGTAATTGAGAGGTAAAAAAGAAAAATTCTGAGTATTTGAGTCTTGATTATCTTTAGCTCAAAATAAGCCACATGTGAAAGTGACTCAGTTTGGAGTAGCATACTCTGTTCCTGAACAGTAGTTAGCAAAAATTAGCTTATGTTCCAGAAACTTCACTGTTTCCTTTAGACATAGTACATGGTTCCAAAGTCAAAATTTAATTTGTAGCAACCACTACTTTTGTAAGTGTCTTAAAATCCAAATTAACATTGACCAATTTTGTGGGTGTGTGTAAAAAAGCATGAGGTTTACTTCTTAATTCAGTTGTGGGTGATTTTTCTGATTTTGTGCTTTAATCTCTAATATGTAATTGAAATAATATATATATATATATATTTACTTTGTGAAATAAGTGTTGAATAACTATGAAGTTAGAAAATGATATTTTTTCTGTTATGATAAATAATTACTACTATAAATTGTTAAAATCCCATATGGACCTCAGAATTCTATATGAAAGGATAGCATACTGTAACAAGCTTTTATAACAAGAGCTCTAATATTTTATTTTAAACTAAGATACTTGAAATAACTGCTTTTCCTGTTTCTATCACTCTTCCCTTGAGATTTAGGGAATCACAAAAATTATTTGGCTTGTCATAGATTTTATTATATATGCTTTGAGTTTAATTGTGAATTAGCGCATTTTTAGCCTTCTTCACTGTCTCTTTTGGGAAATATCATAAAAAGGCACTCTAGCAACAGTCAATTCAGGCTAATGTGTTTGTTTTCTTTTGTATTTTTCCTATCATTCAGTTTCTTAGGCATTGGTAACTTTATCACTGTGCTAAAGAAGGTTGGTTTTAAAAAAAACTAAAGATTAAATCTGTTTTCACCAAAAAAAAAAAAAAAAAACCTTTTGCAGCACCTTCTTATATGGTAACGTATGCATTTTAAAACTCTATTTGTTATTGCAGAATTACATTGGTTTCATTATTCTTAGCCTGTTCCCCCCCACTCATGTTAAAATATTCATATTTGACTATTTTAATCATTAAGTGCATTTAATTGAAGTACTTATTGTTCGCAATAGATAGAAAGTATTTTAGAAAGGCTTTGCTCACATGCAGTTTCTAGTTATACACTGTGTGTACTAATTATGAAGCTCAGGTTTCTGGGACACATCACCTATGATGAACGCTTGAGCTTATGTAAAGGTTGAGAATCGTGCTTGGTGGACAATGTCAGGACCTAGCCATACTTGTGTGCAGCTGACACAAGAAGCTGAATGAGTTCGGCCTCTTGAAAGGTATGCAGCTCATAAAAAGCAACCAGCAGGAAATCAGAAACAGGAAGGATGATTCTTTGTTGGAAACAATTTTTCATTTTGAATACAATTACACTCCATGGACAAGAAAGCTGGTACATCCTGTCGCTAAATATCACAACCTAGAAGCCTCTAATGAACTGATTAGCATTCATGTATCTCTTGGAAGTCAGATATATGAACAGTTGGTGCACTTTGCTATTGACAAAGCTTATAATCATAAATATTCTTTGCTGAGATTAGATTGCATTCGTTTGTTTTTCATCTTAGACATACTAGTTTTGAAATAATTAAATTCATTCATTGCAAAGCTTTGTTTACTTTAATTAGGACTGACAACAAGTCAGATTGTGAATATTAAATGCATTTATACGGAACATATTAAAATCACAACTTGTGAGCTTCCTAGTTCTTAGGAAATGGATGAATTTGGAAACCAAAATGCACAAGAGTAAACCTGTAAACCTAAACAAAAGTTTAGGTTATGAATGCTCAAACTTCATTTGTGTTTGAAGTTTTTGTGCTTATTAGTTGAAATATATAACTAGTGTTTTGGTTCATCTACCAATCCAGAAAGAATATGAATGCATTTTTATAAGTAGATACTTAAACAACTGTGATATAGTTAACTATATTGTTATTTTAAATGATGCTATTTTGTTAGGATATGAAATGTTACTATTAGCATTCATCATAGCATATTATCAAAGTTCTTCTTTACATACATTGTTGTACATTTACTGTTTTCTTTAAAACACATACACAGTATCACTGACATTTTAGCAATAATTGTTATTGGTAATAATTAAACCTGGTTAGAAACATAATGGCAGTGAACATTTATGCTGTAAATATTTGCTTGAAAAATATGTAAAATGAATTTGAGATAGGGACACTAATATTATTATATAAGTAAACTATTGTTTGTGAAGCATACATGCTTCCTAAATTCTTCTCAGCAAGAACATTAGAAGTGCCAGGATTTATGTCAGGCAGTGCCTATTCCTTCTTTTGACCTTTAAATTCTGAAATGTTTCTTAATTTAAGGGAAAGAACAAATAGATTCTAAAGTTTTGCCCTTGGAATTCTCTTTACACAAGTATTTACCTTTCTGTTTTTTTCCTATCTCCTTTACTGAACCTCTTAGAAAAAAAAAATTCTCTCTCTAAACGTTTATGTATTTTTGTATTTATCACAACTTAGGTGACAAATTATTAGACTCTTCCCACATGTTGTAGTCGTTAAATTTCTTCATTGCGATCCTACTATATTTTCTTTTTTTGTTGTTGCATTATGTTGTAACATTTTATGCACTTCTGAAATCACTCATAGATGGTAAAACTATGATTAAGTTCCTTGCTAGATGGGCTTGCAACTTACATATCTGTATTCCATACTACATATAACACAGTGGTTTTTTTTAGATAAAAGAATTTCATACATTTTTACCTCATTTAACTGTGGCTAGGAAGTAAAATAAAAGAGTAAATGGGTGAAATATTAAGTGTAAACCTGTCGAGCCATGGTCCATTTGCATGAGTGTCAAGATGGGTACCTGTGATTTGTAAAAGATTGTTCTTGTTCTCAGTCTTCTCCCACTCTTTCCAGTCTGTCTTTCTTGCCTGTGGTTCATTTAACCCCTTTTAACAAAGTTTTAAGTTCCTCTTCCTTTATGAGCCCTCAAATGTTGAGAGTGCTGCACAGCTTAGTGCTCATTGCTCTGTGGCAGGCAGTTGTTTCAGTCAGCATCACCATCTAGCCAGGGCTTCCCAGACTACCCAGTGTGAATTAGCCTGTCACTCTCTATAACAATACAGATTTTTGTTTTCTTCATCATTTTTATCACTGTCTGAATAGCTCATTCATTTACTTCTATATTAGCTGTCACCATGCTGTAGAATATGTTTCACAAAGCAGAGACTTGGTTTACTTTGCTTACTTGTTCCCTCTGAATGAGTGGAATACTTTGGGGCTCAGTGAATGCATAGCAAATGACTGACCGGCTGGACCTTGGCTACTTAAATATGTTGTATAAAAGTATTAGATTGATAGCCTGATTTTTGCTGGCTGTTTTAAGCTGTGTTAATGCAAGTAATAGACATCATCGAAGGGGAAAGTGCAGTGATGAGGACAGAACATAAGAATACATGGAAAAATTTTTTATATTAAGATGGGTTAGGAATTAGAGCAGTTTTAGCTAACTAACCAAGAGAACAATCCCAGGCCTTAGTCTTGCTGTGTAGTTGACCAGCACGAAATACTTGTAGTCCAGTGCATGTGAACACAGATCTGGTTGTGTCAGACTTTTCAAGTAGGAAGATTTTTGTTGATTCAAGTAGGATTTTATCTTAATCCTGATAAAGGAAAAGACATTAATTTTTACAAAAATATTGTGAAATTGGATATATATCAACATTTGTAAAGGATTTTATCAATTATTTGTTTCTTAAGTAACTCCCCTATTTCCCTAAAGAGCTCTACAAATACAATACTTGATGCTGGGAAGAAATAAAGCTTAGCTGCTATTTATATGGCCATTCCCTTTAATTGGAATTTTAACTATTGCTACAAGAACAACTACATTGGTATTTCTTGTGTGTGATGGTGGTGATGAGGAGGAGGAGGAAGAGGACTTATCTGGGTATTTTACCCTCAGTTCATGAGAGAGTTCACTTACAATATCATAGAGTACCTCATTAATGTAACCATTACATTTTTTCAAACAGTCACTTTACACTTCTGAGAATTTGGCTATTTCTAAAATTGTTTGAGTTCAATCACAATTTTAACATTCTGATGGGTAATTCCAATTATTCAAAGTTCCATTTCATTCCTTTGGGAGCAAATTGTTTTAAAGATAACAATGATAAGAAAATTAACTTAGAAATCTCTCTAAATATTAGAACAAGGTCATGTAATTCCCATAGTTTGTCTCTTAGTCTTATTTCTAATCACATCTTTTAATGGAATTGCACTTGTTTTTATTAAGTATGCCCAGTTACATTTTTGATATCATTAACTGATGATCTTACCTCTAAATCTAAAATAATATTATTGATTAATAGTTTATTTTAAACTGTTTTCCAAATTAGTTCATGTTTCCAGATTATCCTCATGTTAATATGAAGTTTCTACTATTTTGTTAGGTTCTAGTTATTAAAATTCAAAGCCATAATAAAGACAGAAATGGAGTAGCTATAGAACCATATGATTCAAAATATCCAACAAAGTCGTATACCATGTTGTTCAGAATATCTATATCTCAGGGACTCTATTAGCTCTTAACATTACATCCAAATTATACATTATTTTATGAATGGAAATTCCATCAGTTTAATTAGACTTTCCACTAAAGTTTAAGAATGGTCACACCAGAAAAGCATAATGATTTGACATGTAGTTACAAATGATTAAATTTAATATATATAAGAAGGTAGTGCACAGCATCTAGAGAAATGACTGACAGTCAGAAATGTGGTCAGAACAAAGTGCTATCAGGCAATTAAACTAGTTGGGTGACTTCATTGAAGATGAGTAGAGTTTACTACAGAGGCTGTGTATTCATTAGAATAAATGATCACTCATAGCTGTAGAGGATAGAGAAAAAAACTTTATGGAAGAATAAATGCTTGGATGATAGATTTAGACAAGCAAAGATAAAACAATTTCTCTTTTAGACAGACATTAAGAGAATAAAAATAATCTTTGTGATATAATCGCTATATGGAATGTAAATTTTTATGAGGTTTTATAGAATAACAAACTAATGTTGACTTCTGAACTTACTAGGTAAATGAAGGTTAATTATTTCACATATATGAATCACAGTAGCTTCTAGGTAATGATACTTTCTGCATGCATTTCAAAGGTGAACTTATATTTACATAAACTTCTATAGCTATAACATTACATGAATATGGGTTATTCATATGGCTATAACTTCTTAAATATTTTTTCATCATTGTTCATCCTTGAAAAGATGACATTACATAATAATAAATGCATCAACTCTTGCATTAGAATCCATAGTCCCTACTTTCTTAGTCTCTTCTAAAATATATAGCTGAGCAAAACATCGTATTTAAAAAACATCTCATAGCATGGAAGGGCAGTTAGTGATTTGTGGACTTAACATGGGTACAGGTAATTTGTGTGAAGCCTGAGTTCCTTGAGTTCTAGTTATTAGAGTTCTTCAGCATTCCTGGATTCACTGCCTACCTGGTGGCAGTGCTACCTCTTTCTTGAGCTTTTATTCTTTTTCCTCAAAATGAAGGGCCTCTGACAAGAGGAACCATATCTTTTTGAAATGGTAGAAAAGCTTTCCACATACATATATGTAAATACACACACAAATATATGTACACACACTATATGTGTGTGTGTGTGTGTAGAGAGAGAGAAACCATTTATTGGTTTGTCTTTAATTTGAATCCAAATTACTAATTTCTGCTCTTAAAAAAAAAGTGCTGATTCTAGGTATCCTTTTTGCATTATTCAGAGATAATAAAATGACAAGTAAGCTTAATACATTATGTTCTATTCCTTTAAATGTCCCAATTTAAAGGTGCCATGTCAATTATGACTGCTGCTCTGAAAGTCGTCTTTTCAGAGTGTGCTGATTTTATATCTAATTGCATTAGCAATTTGTCACATCACAAACTAAACTTGGGTTTGTTTGGAAAATGTTTTCTCCTGCCACGACAATCACACTAGTTAGTCTTCTCACTTTCAATGTTTTGAACTATGTTATATATAAGTGAGAGAAGAACATTTCTCTGTGTGTGTGTGTGTGTGTGTATAGTCATAATTTAGATCATCATACGTACATCTTATGTGCCAGTTTCAAAATGAAAAGTTAAGCTTGGATTTACTTGTTAGTGTAACTTCTAGAATTCTATTTGTTTTTTCAAATGAATGACTACTAAGTACTTCATGTGTACTCTGTCAATCCGGTTTTTAAGAACTTGGCATATGGTAAGTAACTCAGTTGATTCTCACAACATCCCTGTGAGATAGGTAACATTACTTTCACTTTATAGAAGAGAAAATTGTGACAGAGATGACTTGGCCACACAGATGCACCACTACCAAGAGTAAGAATTCTAAATTTATCCCAGGTTGTCCAGGTTGCTAATCTTAACACCACTGTTGGCTAATTTCAGTATCATTGCAGTTAATCACAACTAGTGAACTATCCTTTTTTTTTTTTTAATTATTAATACAGGACTGGGGTACAGGCCAAAGGTGCAGGGGCGGTGAGAGGCTTCGCCAGAGACAGAGTGGGGAGCAGAACAGGCAGATCGACGAAGTACGCTGCTGAGGGGAGCAGCGGGCAGGTCAGGAGAGGTCTGCCACGCCATGTGGTCACCTCCTGGGCAGGCGGTGTTCGAACTGCTGTGGAAGTGGCTTTAGCTTCTTAGTGTTGTGCTTTAACCCACTGTGCCACCAGGAGGGCCCTGAACTATACTTTTAAGCCATATTGCATATCTGAATAATATAGAATGGCAAATTAAAATACAACTGTTCTTGAATTCAATTGTAGAAGAAACATAGTAGACACTGATAAGTTATCCAGAATCCATGAGGAATTAAATACAAGTTTATTTTTCCCTCTGTAATATTGCCATATAAGTTGCAGAATACCTTAACTATAACATACAGCTTTGTTATCAGTGCAAAGGAACAATATGAAAAACTTTTCAAGTTGCATGAAAACATGGAAAAGTTATACCAGTGTGTAATGGGATACTATGCCATTGATGTGAAGAAGGTGTCTGTGGAAGACTTCTTTACTGACTTGAGTAACTTCAGGACTTCATTCATGGTATGCTGAAACTTTTAATTTTTTTTTTTTAAACGTATCATCTATACTTTCTTACCTACTATTTTTATTTCATTGCTTCTTTCTATTCCTGTCATCTGTAGTATAATGTACCTTTTCTGATTTGAAAGTTACTTTAAAAAATTTAGATTTTTAAATCGACTTGAGAAATGTGTGGTTCTTTTTGACCTTCCCAGCATTAAGCTGTAATCAGAAATTGATTGAAAAAGTGACATAATCTGAAGTTTTTCACAAAGACTCCCCTCCTGGCTGATTACAGAGCACTGTTGTAGTAAGTTTTTGGCTAGAAATTTGTTTCTTTATACTTAACATCAATTTTTATTTTTGTGATATAATTTTACCAAATTCTGTAGCTCATATGAAGCTTTTCCCCCTTTTCTTTTCTTAATGCATTGTACAATAAGCTACCTGTGATTTGCCTTTGAATGGATTTCACATTCCTGGGGTTTCCTTTAGATACTTTAATAGGGAGGTCAGGTCTTTGATGTGGAATCCTTTCATTTAGGCATTAAAAAGATCTTTTCAAAAGTATTAGCTGATTAGATGTGGGAAAAAAATACACACACATATTAAGAGTGAGAAAGCATTGTTACCTTCCTAGGGAAACTGGGGATACATTTCTACAATGAAAAATTATGTTATTCTTAGTAGATGAGTTAGTCAGTCTATATTTCAGGAAATGTATGTGGAGATTAAAAGTTTTGAAGCTTTAAGAAAGAGAAGGTTAAATTTCAAGAACTGGTTCTTTTTAGTCTCCAAACTTTGTTCAGTTTATTGTATTTTGCTACAATGACGTAGTTCTGATTAGATAATCTTTTAATAAAAATTCAATATTTTAGAAGAAAACTAATCTATAATATATACACATTTGCTCAGAACTCATTTGTTTTTCCAGATTCACAGAGATTCTTTATCTTTTCACCTCCAGAAATGAATTTGATTATTAAAGATATTTATTATGTGCTTTTATCTGTAATGTATAATTTTTGTAATGTCTTAGGTAGTAACATTACTTAGAAGTAGGAAATGCTTTGCACTCTCAGAGAACAAAGTTTGGATTCTGTACCAATTATGTGACTAGGAGCACTTTTTAACTTTCCTGAAACTCCCATTCCTATTGGTTAAAAAAAAAAAGGTAATTTCTTTCTTTCTCAGAACACAATTTAAATAAGGTAATGTACACTAGGCTTCATGGCTTTTAGCACATGGTATCTGCTTAAAGAGTTAACTAATTGTTTAAGGTTGAAACACAATTGTATCCCAGGGAAAGAACTAGCCTTTGACTGGCTTCTGGGGGATAACCTCTACTCCTTGGGACTATCCTGCCTGACAGGGTGTCTTTGTGTACCTGATAATTTAAATTTATTATTAAAATGTTATTTATAGTTCATCTTTCCTGGCACCCTGTGCTGCCCTGTCAGTTTGCCTTTTATTGGTGACCGAGTAGCTGAGGTCAATCGTGGGGGAGGTCCATGTCTACATGACTGACATTCCCCTTACATAAAACAAACTGCATATCAATGTTTGGGAGCAATTCCCTGATTAGCAAAAGTTTGTAAACCTTGTACATTATTGCTGACATAATGAAATGCCACTAGGAGATGACACCTGTGATTTTAATCTGTGTTCTTTCACTAGCCTATAACTGGGAGTAGAACAGCTGCTCTAAGTTCTTTGAGTCTTTCCAATAAATCATCAAAGCTTCTGACACAATAATGCATCCATGACATCAATATGCATATAGTGCATTTATGAAATAATACCCAGGTAGATTAAAAAGTTTCTATCAAACATAAGGCAATGGCTGTAAGAATACTGACATTGGGTTTCCCAGTGACCATTAATGTTTGTAATTATCAAAACTGGGATTTTAATCCAGATTTAGTGGCAAATTTCCCAAGACTGGGTAATATTTAGAGCCCTGGGTGTTTGTTAGCTAATGTGCTGTTTTCATTACTCAGTGGTGGAAAGAGGAAGAAAGTAAAGTGTTTGAATGGAAAAGGAGTCAAAAAACATTTTCAAAATACTTTATAGAGCAAATTTGTGTGGGTAAATTATATCACTCTTCTCATCTCTGAGCCTGCTAAGACTTGTCTGTCTCATTTACATTAGTGTGTCTAGTAAAATTCAGGGCATACGTAGATAAATATGTTGAGTAGCAGATGTTCCCATCTATAAAAAGGTGACTATCTTCAGTAACAAAACTTAGAATGCCAACCAAGTGCCAGATGCTATATTAATTCATTTAATCCTTACACCATCCACCAGATGTGGTATCTGCATTGCTATTTTTCCCATTTTACAGATGAGAAAATTGAGGCTAAGAGCACATGATTTGCCTGTTGTGACACAGTTCACAAGTGATAGAACTTGGATGCTAAGCCAGGGAGATTGGCTCCAGGCTATGCCATAAATAGGCAAATTTTATTGATTTCTATTAAATGTAAGAGTTATGTTTAATAGGACTAACCTGAAATTTAACTTGCCCATATAAATATTTGGCCACTTTCACTTTAATTATTTAGCTTGAGGGTCATGTACCTGACATATTTGTGCATTAGGATTGCCCAGAATTTAGACTTAAGCAATTAAAAATTGTCTCTTTTTATTTAAAACCCCTTTGAATAAAAGGTTAAACCTTTAACAAACTTACAAAAGCCTGTTAGTGTCATTGTGTCTCATAGCTACTTGAATGGATAAAGCTACTCAGGCTTTTTTCTTTCTCTCAGAGTCTTTCAAATAGCTAGAGGAGAAACACCTGTTTCAGCCTCCGCCTCAAATCATGTAGACCAAGGGGGAAGTTTCATGATCATGTAGCTTCCTCTGAGAAACAGCTGTTCATTGTGACAGCAGTTTAACTCACCTCTTTTCTGGTTGTGGATTTTCAATTGGAAATTAACTTGTTTTAGCCATCTATCGGGGGTATGCTAGTCTGAAGTGGTTTCTGTTTACAATTATCTGCAAACTTTAAAGAAATAGTAAATAAGTTTTCACTGGATTTTTATTTAGCTTTTTTTTTCCATTACCATCTTCCACAGGACGAAACTAAAGCCAATAGCCATTGTTTTTGGAGTGTTTACTTTTGGTAGGTGCTTGATTTGTGTTTCTCGTGAAGTTAACTGTTGGTAGTGAAAACCAGTGCCTTTGCAGAATCACTGTGGAAGTAACAGGAACTTGAGTTTATGGAGTTTTTCTATTCCAAATTCTATACTTTTTTTTTTTTTAAGACTCATTTATGCATACAAGAACTGGGGTACAGGTCACAAGTATGGGGGTGGGGGTGAGAAGATTCACCAGAGACAAAGTAGGTAACAGAACAAGCAAACTGAAATACACTGCTGAGGGGAACAGCGGGCATATCAGGAGAGGTCTGCTGTGCCATGGAGGTCAGCTCCTTAGCCAGGGATTGAGCTTGTGCTGCAGTGGCTGAAGATAACCTTCATAGTGCTGCCTTCCCTGGTGGCGCAACAGGTTAAAGTGCAGCCTTTGAAGCTATACTTTTAAAAGTATATCAGTTTTCCAATTATACTGTTTCTCAAGTTTGAAAAATAAAGCCAAAATATAATATTAAAGGTGTTTTTGGTGAAAACAAAGGGCAAAACAGGGAAATTCAGCCCAAGATACACTAAATTTCCTCAATGGTTTATAAAGAAACTTTACTTACATTGGTGGGTTCGTGCTAGGAGCATGTGTGCAGGCCTGGTTCTATTTCTTTTCCTTTCTTATATATACATTATATATATATATATATATATATATATATATAATATATATATATATATTACATCATTTTGTACATTTTTTTTTATCTCAATTGTAATCCCCATGGGTTTCCCATCACCAAGTCACCCATGTGCCATCTCCATAGTCCAGTGCACTTCCATCCCTGCCCCCCCCCTGCCGTTTTTGATCCCATTCCCCACTCCACCCCCACAAAATGTCTCTGGTATATGGCTGTTCATTATTCTTAGTATTTTCTTGCCTGCTATGAGCAGAACCATCCAGTATTTTTCTTTTTCTTTCTGGCTTATCTCACTAAGCATGATCTTTTCCAGCTCCATCCATGTTGCTGCAAAAGACATGTGTTTCTTTTGGCTTTTGAGTAATATTTTTGGCTGCCGAGTAATATTCCGTTGTGTACCACATCTTTTTAATCCAGTTATCCATTAGATTTGGGCTACTTCCATGTTTTTCCAATTGTAAATAAAGCAGCAGTAAACATGGGGGGGGTGCAGGTATCTTTTTGAATCAGTGTTTTTGTGTCTTTTGGGTAGATACCTAGGAGTGGGACTGCCGGGTCATAGGGAAGATGCATTTGTAGCAGTTTGAGGAACCTCCAAACAGTTTTCCATAGTGGTTGTACTAGTTTGCATTCCCGCCAGCTGTGCAGGAGAGTTCCTTTTTCTCCACATTTGTTGTTGCTAGCTGTTTGAAGATGTGCCATTCACACTGGGGTGAAGTGGTATCATTGTGGTTTTAATTTGCATCTCCCTTATTATGAGTGATGTTGAACATTTTTTCATATGCTTGTTTCCCTGGTTCTATTTAAAAGCATAAAATGTTTACTTGTAAAATTAGAGGCTTATTAACGTCAAGCCAGTGGCTGGAGAGAGGGTTTAGGTGAGGGCTGGAGAGTCAACACTTCCCTGGAATAGAGAAGACTCAAGTGAAACAGTTCAAGTTGGAGGTATGAAGTGGAAATGTTTGACCTCATTCTATGGGACCATGAATTGGTGGCCTACCAGGCATCAGACTTCACCAAATGATCCTCATACCTTTAGTTATCTATTGTTGTGTAGCAATCATTCTTGTTTTCCACTCCTACTTATGACTGCTTTTGAAGTCATTGGCCAGAGGACCTATGTTTACCAGAGATATCATGCTTTTTAGATGATGAATTGTGCTCATTATGAAATTGGTTTGACTCATGTCAGGATCACACTTTCTGTTCATGTTTGTCCTGTGAGCCCAAACCTAGTTTT